AATATTTTAATAGGGTTGCCACCTATTTTGAATCGCATATTTATTTAATATTTTGTTTAGAAAAAAAGGTAAAATATTACTATTCATGGGTACCAAGAGAAGGTTCTTAAACAATACTTTTCCTATATATAAAATGTTATACCTTAGGATAAAAGTGTAAGGTTGTCACTTATTTTCGATTCTACACAATTTATTTAAATATCGCAATATGGATATCAAAGAAAATGTGTTGTTGAGAACTTTGGTCAGAAAATATTTTCCCTCAGGATTGCCACGCTTCTATGTAATACAAATATTTATTTTGTTAATTTCAATCAGCATTTTTTTATGTATACACAATACATATACGCTCAAGATATGTACTATTCATTCCAACGTATATCGGAATAGGGTTGCCACCAAAATTTTGGAGTAAGAAATTTCCTTAATAGATATGGAAGTCAAATTCCTTTTTTCTATTTCCAAAATATTTTTTTAAAGCTATCCAAATCTTGAAAACTTTAAAAAGCATATGCACTCCGGGCAAAGCTCGTTCAACCTGGTACTTGCACCTAATGCAAGTATATAATACGATTTTGCGCCGTTAAATACAAAACTTTAATAAATATTCAAAATCAATTTTTCATATTGCTTTTCACTGTTAATATTATTTGCACTAATTTACGTAAACAAATGTTTTTTATGCCTTCCGCTAAGAAATGTTTACACTTACATACATATGTAGGTCAATCAAATGCACGAAAAAATAAAAATCGCACTGATAAGAAAACCTTTGGAAACAATGTATCACGCGTACATATGTTTTTCAAAAACTAAGATCATGTGTACAGCACCCCCATTTCAAAGTGATATTGTTTGCCACTCATGTTTATTTATTTATTTTTAGGAATTTTCAATAAAAGTAAATGCTTTTTTAGAATTTCTTACGCCGAAGGTGTTGCGAGTTTCTTCCATATAAAAATAAATTGTGTTATTCATTGTATGGAAGCAATATAATATGGCTTTTGCATTATTAAATATAAAGTTTTAGTAAATATTTAAATTCAATTTTTATATTTCCTTTTTTCTGTACATATGTATGTATGTCAATGAAATGCAAAAAAAAATATAAATCGCACTGATAAGAAAACGTGTGCAACAATGTATCACGCATACATATGTTTTTCATATGTAAATGCGTACATACATATGTATATTAGGGCGGGTCAATTTTTTTTTCGACATCGTTCCCAGCAGTTTCGGATTCTACATAAAATTCTAAGAAAAAAAGCCCTTTAGACCATAGCTCTAAAATCAATTTCGAGCCTGCGCAATTTTAAAAGAAATTATTTTTAATTAATACTAAGTCAAATAATCAGATTAATTTTTACTAAAGTGTTAGGAATCTTTTTTTTTTTTGTAATAAAGAATTGTGCTCGGGAGTTTTGTGATATGAAAAATTCATTTCTGATATCTATTTTTTATTTAAAGAACCGCAAGATGGCGCTTCAAAGCAAATCTACTATATATTTGTGGAAGTATGTATGTATGTACCAGGTTGCAGCCTGAACGGATGTACAGAATCGAATAAAATTTTGCAAAAGTATTGCCATGACTCCTGGACCTATAATAGGGTAAAAAAATTGAAACTCGCCAAGGGGGGGAGGGGATGAGGGATACCTCCCATAGTGAAAATTTTTAATCAGCTCTAACTTCGGAATTATAGTCACATGAACTCGAAATTTGAAATGCACAGATACCTAGGTTAGGTGCTTATGGAAAGATATATGTATATAAATGAGTTTGTAAAAAGGGGCGTGGCACATCTTATAGGTGTGGAATCTTTTATCAGCTATAACAGCAGGCAGTATTACTGATCTCATTGTATTGGATTTTGAAGATTTGTTATAATTGATCAAAGTTAAATTCAAATAAATTATAGATGATATGAAGTTCACCGGGTCATGTTCTAGTCTTTAATATATACTCAGTTAATATACGGATTAATATTTACTAAAGTGTTACGAACGTTATTTTTTTAATACCATAAGAAAAAAATAACTATGATTTAAAGGAATGACACACAATGGCTAGAGTCGTCGCATGTGTGTATTCTTTCATATACATATATATGGGCCGTTTTTACGGTTAATATATTTTTCATCCACTCGCTTATTCCTTACCGAAAATTTTAAATAAAAATTTAACAAGTTTTAGCCGCTGATACAGTACAGGTAGCAGTTTAAAATGGGTAACTGGGTAAACTTTATAAAGAAAACATATTCTCTGGCTAAATTAATAAGCCTGCCCGGATAACATAAAATCCCAAGCTTGATAAACATTTGGTGGTATAAAAGTTTTATAAAGCTCTACTTGTAATTAGGAAAAATGCCGAAAAAAATTATAAAATTGATTCATTGATTGATTGATTGATAAAAATAAAGAGTGAGTTATGGCTATGACAATAGAAACTAGAAAAAAGATACCTCGTGTTGAAAGCAAAAAGGATCTAAAACCAAAAAAAAATATAAATACATTGTTAATCATAAAAAAATTTATGATTCGAAAAATAATTTTGAAATATTGTAAATTTTTTTTTTGGTTTTTTAAAGTTAAGGGTAAATAAACCCTTAAACTTGCAGTAACGAACAAAAGTATTGGCACAGTAAATTTTACGCAATATAGGCAAAGTATTTTTTAGAAAAATTCCAAGTATGCAGTTTAATAATCCATTCAATTTTAGTTTATCAAAGTGCAGGTTTGAAGTTGCTTAAAAATCTGAATATAAAATTGCAAATCAGTATGCAGATTTATTGAATTTTCCTGAGTTTTTCGCAAAGTTTACACATTTGATTTTTATGTGTTTTAGTGTAGTATGAACTATGTTTTTATAAAAAATTATCGGAAATAAATTAAAAATTTTGCATATATGTAATGCGAAAATTTACTGTGCCAAAACTTTTGTTCGACACTGTACATATAAAAAAATACATACAGTAACTTCTCCCGTTACAATAGTAAAAAATGTGTAATTTGCTTTGTAGTGCAATCTTGCGGTTCTTTAAATAAAAAATAGATATCAGAAATAAATTTTTCGTATCAATAAGCTCCCAAGCACAGGTTTGTATTAGAAAAAATATATCCGTAACACTTTATTAAATATTAATCTGCATATTTTATCAATTCGTCGGAATATGTTTTTATGTATGTTACCGCGTAACTTTGGACTACGTTATCCGTTTTCTAAAATTCTTTTTGAAAGGAAAGGTGGCTCCTCAGAGGTAGTCTCCTACTAATTGAGTGTAGATCCGATAATTGGGCCATGAAGAAAATAACGGTACTTTTAAATTTGTATATGAGAATTGAAGTCGGTTTTGTTTTTTTGTTTAAATTTTTCTCCAGTGGCCACAGCTTCTATAAAAGAGTCGTAGGCCATATTTTTTTGTTAGTTCAATTGTGAAACATTTGTATGAACTGCTTCGGCTAATACTTCGGCTTTTGTTCTCTTTTTATATCGAGGCTGAGTGCATTGTTCGATGGGGTGATATCATTGCCAAACATGATAGTACTTTGTTTGCCATCAATAAACACTATCTTGACGGAGTTACAGTATTCCACATTGATGCGAGCCTCAAAAGTCTAGAACAATATTTGCGAGTATGGCTTTTAGTTTTTACCGCTCAGGTAGGTGGCAGGCCTATAGAGAATATTTCTTTATCAATAATTTTTCAAATACTTTTCGCTCGACACCTATATTATAATACATACTTATTAACTTAATTGAATTAAATTTTCGAAATTGGTGGCAACTCGACTCAAAAATATTTTTAGTAGTAAGCCTTCTTAAACCCTTTTAATTTGATACCCATATTGCAATATTTAATTTATCTTATCAATTTTATTTAACTAAATTTTGAAACAGGTGGCAACCCCCCTCAAAAATATTTTTGCCTGTAAGCCTTCATAACCTCTTTCTTTTGACACCCATATTGCAATATCTAATTTATGTAATTAATTTACTTATATTGGGATTTTTAAACAGGTGGCAACTCTCTATTTTTTCTGGTTTTAACAATCCGGATATTATAAAAAACAAACCAAAAATATAAAAATATTCAAATTAGTCAAGCTGTTTTCCAGTCTTAGCGAGGCTAACGGACAGCTATCCAATTTTATATATAAGGTATCTTCTTTTAAAAATGCGCAGGCTCGAAATTGACTTTAGAGCTATGGTCTGGAGGAATTTTTTTCTTAGAATTTTATGAAGAATCCGAATATGCTAGGAACAATGTCGAAAAAAATCGATCCATACAAATTGACCCGCCCTAATGTATATGTAATTCATGTTCTTCAAAAACTCATTAAATGCGAAATTTCAGTAACAATTCAAAATAGTTTTTTTATATTTCATAATGTTTTTCAAAAACTAAGATCATATGTAAATATATATATGTAAACCTATTAAATAACACATTTTAGTAAATTCATATTATATTTCGTTTTTATTACTAATAAAAGTATTTGAAAATTTTCAACGCCGACACTGAATTTGAATATTTGTTTTTCATTTGATGAAATCTATAAATGTTTACTACTATGAATTTTTTTTTGTACATAAATTACGCAACTTTTTTGCAGTTATATATCGCTGATTGCCAATCAGCAATCTATGTAGTCTATGCATTCCATAAATTGTTAGTATAAATACTTGCAACTTCTGAACCATTTCTTATAAAAATGATTTATGTTCTTTTTCAATACAACATTCATAAATATTGAGATGTTGTTTTATTTCATCTGACAATCTTACTTAGACAACTTTAAGTTTTTTTTCACCCAAGAAATGTTGACACAATTTTGTCAAGCATGCATCAATTCAATGCATAAAAAATGTGATTTGTGTGTAGAAACTGTTTGCACCTATGTATCAAATAAATACATACATATTAATCAGATACAAAAAAAAAAATAAAAAAAGGCTTAACTTTTTTGATTTTAATATTGATTACGATTCATTAAATCTACTATATAAGCGAGTGTTCGATTACTAAAGTTTATACTCAAGCTGTGCAATTAATCACAAAAGGTTAGTAAAGACTTAGATTTTCTGCACTTTTATTGTTTATAGTTTAGTTCTCCTAGATTTTCTAAAATTCTATAGTTATATTATTATTATTCTTTTTTCCTTTATTTAGAATAATAATGGAGCTCCTTTTAGCAAATAACAACGTTAAACTGCGCGATTTCTTTATCCAGGATACAAAATTTGGATATCCTGGCAGTGTGGGGACATAAAATAGCCTACTACGTGCTACATAAACATTTGACAACCGAGGTAGAATATCCTCGGCATTATACTTGCGAGTATAATTTAATAAAATTCGACACTAACAAATGTTACGCTCTCTGCGAGGTTAGGATTAATCGCCGAGCCCCTTATGAAAATATTGAGCATTTAGATTTTAAAGTTAGGGTGGAATTAAAATTCCGCGATGTTTCCTTGCAGTGCGAAACAAATTTAATAAATCAAAAATTGAATATATTTGACCCGTTTTTCATTCAATGAGCATATTACAGGTTTGTTTATATATTTTTATATCAATTATTTCAACATTTTCTTAAAGCTGATAGAAAATTTTTGGAAAATAGGCAAAGTCACGCCAAATTATTATTACATTTGTATATCTCGGTAACCCTTCGCCAATATCTCCCAAACTTGGCCCAGTTTTTGGTCCTGATAATGGCTGAAAAATTTTAAAATCGCACAATAACCACGCCAACATCCCATATAAGGGTAAATTCATGTCAAATGTCCCAAGCGCGCTGAGCGGTGCAAAACAAGCTACTATTCCACTAGCTGGGAAGCAGACTAAAAATGGCAACAAAAATTCCAACAATTTTATTCCTCTACATATTTGTACGGGCCATCCGTTGGTACTGTGCTTTTTCTAAAATTTTCCCATTTTCAAGGTGAAAATTCGAAATTAAAATTTATTTGTAATTTTTCTGAATTATGGTAATTTTTATTTTTTTTTTAGTCATCTCACATGCTGGGTGTAAAACGTGAAGTTGTAAGCACGCGTTATCGTGATTTTAGTTACGACAAAAAAGTATCCGTGGAGAACCTTCGTCTTGAACTGCGGGCTGTTTCGGAGAAAAAGCTGCAGAACTTAACTGTAGAATACGTAATGCATATTATAAAGAGCACAATCAAATTAAAAACTGAAGCACATATGTATGCACATTCGGGTTGTCCAAACAAAATTATTTATTTTGAAATCAAAAAATATTTAGGGGGTGCTTAAGGCACTCAAAGTTTTCCATGTATATTATATGGGCAAAACAATTTTTCGAACGGAAAACTCTGTTATAGTTTTATTTGAATACTTAAGTCGAGAAAAAAATTTTGGGGTGTAAATTTTTTTTATTCACCCGCTAAAAACCGCCAAATCGCGTTTTTTGCTATAACTTTCTTATTTGCTATCCTAATAAACATAAATATACTTATTGCATGCCAGCATATTTATTTGCTTTTCATCCATTCGATATTTCGTACGATTTCCACACTGCGGTTCCATTAACCACTTTAATTAACCATTTTTGGTGCGGAACTGAAGCATCCCATACGCAACCAAAATTGCAAGCAAAAAGCCAAACATGCACTCTAAGTTTGTAAGTGTAAACTTGACTTATTTGCGAATTCTTATGCATGTGCGAGTATTGCAAACGAATTTCATGCGCCGTTGCAACTGTGTCAAATATGTGAGTGCTTTTGGCAATATAAACAACAACAACAACAAACACAAAAACAACAAGTGTTACACTAAGAACCCCGCTACATGCACGCAAAATGGAAACATGTGCTCGAGTCAAAGCAGTCACGCCAACACCTGCACACGCATTTGTACGTGCATACATGCATAAGAGTACATGTGTACTTGCAGTTTAGTGGTTTTAGTGGTAGTGTCGATTGTCATAAAACTAATATTTACGCATCGCTTACAACTCAACTTTTTATATGCATGTACTTACATATGTGGGTAGTATGCATGCATATCTACATACATACATATATGCTCAGCAGAGTGCATACATATGGGTTTGAGAAAATCGAATTGTTTCAAGAGTACTAAAAATACTATTGAAGCAAACTCAGAGGGATTTCATAAAAATATAAACATATTTTTCAAACGTAAATACAAATTTTGCCACTATTTTCCTGAAGAATCAAAGTTGGGCCTAAAAAATTTGCAATTAGCCCCCTAGACTGAAGACTTTTGTAACAAGCAATATCTTGTAATAATTCATACAAACCGAACATCAAAATTCCCCACCGATCCCAAGTCTGGTTGATGACTTGTCTGCCAGCTTAGCGTAATTTAGTTGTAAGCCATGGCGTATGAGTGATGTACAAGTTTTATGTGAGAGAGTGTACGAGTTTCTTGTTGCCGCTTCACGGCAAAACAGCTTCCAATGAAATTTGACAAAAATGGAACTGAATTAACATATAGAATATTTTTTAAAGAGAGCGGCCACCTTTTTCAATAGTTAAAATCAATTAAATAATAATTTAAGCAAAAAAAAATAAAAAATTTACAATATGGGTCTCAAACGAAACATGCTCAAATTGATTTAAAACGATTAAAAAGGGTTGCCATCTATTTAAAAAGTTAAATTTAATTTAATTACTAAGTCAAATAAGATATTTCAATATGGGTATCAAACTGGAGAGGCTGAAGAAAACTTTCTTTTGAAAATTTTTAAAGAGGCTTGCCACCTGAAAAAAATTCAAAACTAATTCGTTTAACAATGATATTTTTACGGGTGTCAAATGGGAGAAACTTAAGAAAACTTTATTTTTGAAAATATGTTTGACGCGGGTAAGTAGTTCAAAAACAATTTAATTGACAAGGTAAATGAAATATTTTAATATGGGAGTCAAACTTCTTCTTCTTCGTCTTCTTCTTCAAACTAGAGAGGTTTAATTAAGCTCTATTTACAAAATATTTTTTGAAGCGGGCTGCCACCAGTTTAAAATTTCCAGTTCAATTTAAGGGATGTATTAATTAAACATCGCAATACGGTGTCTCAGAAAGGAAGTTTAAGAAAGCCTTTTCTGCAAAATATTTTTGAACAGAGATGCTAAATTCAATTTATTTAATTGAAATATCACACTGAGGTTATTATTATAACAGAGTTGTAACATTACCAAAATATATGTAAACAAACTTTTCCCTTTATGTTAAATAAAGAATGTACATATTTTAATTTGGCATTGACATAAATCTAAACCTATATGTATGTTCATTAGGGTGCATTAGATATAAATAAAAGCATTTATTATTTATTAGAGCAACACAAGCCAAATCAACAATTTTTATAATTTTTGTCTGTCTGACTTTACGCGCATCACTCGAAAACTAATGCATGGAATTGAATGCAGATGTATTGCTAGAAGTCTAACTTAAAATATACAAGAATAAAATAGTTGCCACCTGTTTAAAAATTGGAGTTGAAGTAAATTGATAGGATAAAGTAAATATTACAATATGGCTTTCAAAAGAAAGAGGTTTAAGAAGACTGTAAATATTTTTGTGGAAGGTTTCCACCTGTTTGAAATTTTTAATTTAATTGGATTGATAAGATAAATTTACAATTGCAAAATGGGCCACAAACTAAAGAGGTTAGGAAATTTTACTGTCAAAAAACTTTGAGGGGGGTTGCCACCTGCTTGAAAATTTTGTTAATTTAAATTGACATACTAAATGAAATATTTCATTGCAGGTATTAAACTAATGACGGTTAGAAAGTAAAAGAAAACAAATTGGAGAGGTTTGGCACCTAAATACATACATATGTATGTATATGAAAAATTTAGTTCAGTTAAATTGATAAGATAAGGTGAATATTGAATTAGTACACATTTGAAGAAAGTGGACAATATGCAGACTCGAGTTATAAAAAAAAATTAAATTAAATTTCGAGGAGAAAGCCGATACTTTCTAAATAACTTACATTAACACACATAACATATTAACTAGTACCCAAATTCACAAAAAATATGTAAAGAATGCTTCATAAATCGAAAATTTGTTTGAAAACTCACTTCATAAAGCTCTTTAGATCTATTTTTTTTTTTTTTTATGAATGCGGCCATAAGAGTATGGCAGGGAGTAACATCACAAAAATAATTTTAAGGTGCACGTTGGGTATTTGCTAGTTTATTCTATAATGCTACACACAACTTAATGTAAAAGTGCACCTCCTGACTATTCCGAAAGTAATCAACTCGCACCCCGGCACATCAAATTTCATTTAGTTCTACTGAAAAACTGTTTCACAGCCTGCGGCACTTCAAAAGTAATATTACATTTTTGAGTACAACAGCATTGAACTCTCTAGCAGTAAGTACTCATAATCTCTGTGCAAACGTTCACCTCCAGCATTTTATCATATGCGAAATGTAGTACTTTCGAAAGCTTGTGCAACTTTTTCACTTTTACTTCCATCTAAGTTTATATTCTTCTTGTTTTATAAAATTGTTTTGTTTTATGTGCGAAGCAAACATATGCGTATAAGTTAGTTTACGTGTCATCGCTGTAGTTGAAGTGGTAATTGTCATGCTATAAATACAACTATACTGTAATCTGAGTTGCTGCCACAACAACAACAACAACAATGGAATGTATTACAAGTGTTTCCGCATCGATGGCAAAAAGGTCAACATTTCCTCCTCATTGCCATGCAAACGAAATGAAATTTCCCACATACTGCTACGCGCTAGATACAGTAAATATGTAGAGTACGTGCCTACGTATGCATGCAAGCTGAGGGGGATATGTAATAACATGAGTATTAAGCTTGCAAAAATGTGTCAAATGTGAAAAATGATGTTAAAAGTAGCAAAGCGGAAGCATTAGAGGCAAATATCTGAAGCAAATATTGAAGTGTTTACTGTCAGCAGTTACGACAAACTAGTGATTATGGAAATATTTGTTGAGATCGGAAAATCGATTGGATATACGAATAGACAGGTAATATCGCAGTTGGCTGTTATTCTTCTTGTTTTGCACTAAAACCGCCTAAACTATTTCGACTGAGTTCAATAAAGAGCGCCTCTATATTTTCAATAATATCTGTACGTGTTTAAGAGATTTTAATGTAGTATCATGATAAAAACATAGCAAGGTATAACCGTTCTCTCAATTTGTCGGCCATGATTTTTTTTTGAAGTTTGCCAACATTTTAAAATCATATAAATGTGAAAATAAAAAAATGAAATTGTTCGAAATTGTTGTTGCTTGAGATTGAAAATGAAAATGTGTGTGTGAGTTTGTGAGTAAATTTAAAAATTAAATTGTTTGGAAACGTCAAGAATTTTAAAAGTGACTCTCAGCGGTTCTACCTTACTATATTTTTATCATGTGTAGTATTTTGTATACTTTTATTTATTTCAACTTACAATAATGGACTCGTACGCTTGTGGCTAACGTTAGAGCTAAGTTGCTCTTGTTGGCCTGTATTTTTTTGTAGTTTTT